CTACTTGTCACTCAAGATGTACTTATGTTGTACCCTTAATTTGCACTGTTCAACATAATTTGAGAACATTTTCGATAAAGATATAAGACTTAATGGAATCAATTAAAAAGTTTAGGACTTGATTACACTTTTTGATGAAGATTTTTTACTTGATTGAACCAATTGAAAAGTTTAAAACTCTATTTTATTTCCTAAATAAGGTTTAGGACTTGTGGTGCAATTTTTTCTGGACGACACAGCTTTGAAACCATGTTTTGTCGCTTCTCTGCAATGTCGGACATGAGTTGTTAAATGAAGTCAGCAGGGCAAGGTAGAAAGAGTAACAGGACAATGCTCGAGCAAGGGGATAAAATCGCTCATTGTTATCTACGATTGAGGACAATCTCTGGATCTAGTACTATTAACACCTGAATTTCGCCTAAAAGATCTCTTGTGCATTTCACAAAACATTTGGGAACGAGTTCGTCAATATCGAAAGAATTTGACCCCTAAACAAAATTATCGATTGTGGCGTAGTCTTGGATTCGCATTATTTACCGCATTTCTTTACATGTAGATACTAGAGACAATTTCATTTAGGAATAGCATTTCATTTAGGAATAGCACCATCTCCGTTTCCCGCCAACTACGGGTACTAGACAGAACAAAACGAATAAACTCAACCCCGAATGGGCTTTCACTATACAGCTCAAAGCACAAAGTAAATATATTTCCAAAGTAACCACATTCAGGGTATGACAGTGACAGTTGCAATCATCTCTGAGCGTAGAGCTCATTAGGAGTGGGATCGACGATATTCTGCCGGGCGCTGGTTTGAACAACACATGCGGAATTGTATAGAACAAAGTCACAGACGTTCCATATGTCACAGCGAGGGACCGCTATGTGCGAGCAAATCCACGAGGACTCTGTTCATTCAAAGATCAAACATAAGCCCCGCTCGAGGAAGAGAAACCAAAGCCGAGTAGAATAACCTGTCGCGCTGCAACAAAAGAGAAAAACACAGTGACATGTAGATATTTAAGATGGAAACAAACCAATTTCCCAAAATCTAGATACTGCTTCATACTTACATCAAGGAGAGCAAACTGGCAATTCCAACAATGGCTCTGCAACTGCCAGTACCAGTAATAGTTTCAGTGTGCATATGACTGGCTCGACAAACATTGGTCGACATATTAACTGATTCTCAGCAGAGAAGCTCTGTGTTCTATGCTTAAAGAGTCTGATAACAACCATATTACAAGACACATGAACCACATTCCACCACCACTCTTATTCCCTATAAAACTATATAACATCGGATGGCCATCTAAGTCATACCCGGCAATTCTAATTCAGAAAGAGCAGCAGCACAACGATAATACTATATTGACATATGACTCCGACTAGATTCGGGACATCAGATTAGAAAATAATATCTTCATCTCTCTCTGCTCCTGCCAATAACAAGTTTTGGGCCAAGTTAAGAGGTATGCCCTCTTTTAAAGAAACCTCCTCAGCGAGCTTCTCTACTGCATATTGGTGCGCTGACGCCCTCTGTCTCTCGAGCTTTCTCTTCTTGTATCCTTGTATCTTCTTCAACCTGAAGAAATCCTCTCTTTCAAGCTCATCCAGTTCTGCTTTGATATAGTTTATACTGTTCTCCAATCTTGGCTTCACAACATTCTCCAGAGAATTAACTCTCCGATTTGTTGTCTTTATTGCTTCATCAAGTGTTAAAAACGACGTTTGAAGTGAAGCAAGCTCAACAAGAACCTCAATTGCTTTGATATTAGCAGCTCAACATAGCTGGACTTGCTGACCACCTCTGGCCAGTCCAGTCAGGTTATTCTTGGTCTCAGATTCAGTGAAGTATTCAAACTCAGGAAGCTTCACACCAGCTATATTCTCTTGCTTTGATCTCACTTTGAGAGATGCATTTTGGACATTCTCAAGAACAATGTGCTTTATATTCTCCCCGGCAACATATTTAGCTTCAGTCAAGGCAAATGAAGATGCCTTCATGATCTCTCCCATTGATTCTTTTGTAGAGACAATTTTCTTAAGGATTAGATGAAACTGCACCGTCAAAGCATCGCTCTTCTTCTTGAGCAGAGCATGGCCTCTTGTAGCGCCAACAAGGCGAGCTTTCATAACTCCGAGCATTGTGACAGTGGGAACTACATTCAGGCGCTGGGTTTGACCCGACATTATTGGAAAAATCTGGAGAAACACAGACAGAAACAGAATCAATATAATTGGAAGAAACTCCAGAGACTTTATTGCCTGAACAAAAGAAGTTGCAGAATACCATGGTGATTGATATCCCTATGGTGGGGACAACAAAAAATCAACAAAAGGTCTCACTGATCAGAAAGTTTCACATTAGCTGTTTACCGATGCTTAATCATTTATAAAGGTTCATTTTTTATAAATATAAGGCAAGATTCTTCCACAGATATAGACCAAACCCTTATACTAGAGCTCTAAAAAGTGATTTGAGCATCGAGTATTTCACCCATCTATTGAGATAAGAGGACATCTCAGTGGCTGAAAATGGGAAAGAATTAGCTTAAGGTGGAACTTATACCTCATCTAATATAGAACAGTTTAATGGGACAGATCAACAAAAAATTTAGTCCAAAACCTTAGTTTCTGCATCATGTCCCCATTTTCTTGCTTAGTAGTAGTTGTCCTGCAGTCTGGCTATCCAAAACAAACAAAAAAAGCGACTTTGCGTTGCATCCAATGAAACCCAGTTACACAACTAAGGAGTGCCACACACAGACCACTCGTTCCAGTCAAATTCACCAGCGGAATCATGGTATGATTGCTTCCCCTGGATGATGGGGACCAATCAAGCTAAACAACCCAGAAAGAAAATTCAAGCAAACACTAACAAAAAGAGAAGGAAGGAAAAACACACAGACGTCTCGTGATCCAAACAACTAGTTTCCAGCCAGAGAATTGCAAATTAGACCTATCTCAGCCACGGCAAAGGAAAAACGCTACTGTCCCCATCCTACGCACGCTCTCACGCGATCATCCGGACAAAAGACGAATAAACAAACAACACGCTCACGTTACTCACGGCAACAAAACCAAAACTTGCGTTCGACCCAAAATCAATCTGACACAGTCCGACGCAGAATCAATGAGACACTGAGAAACCTGCAGAACAATCTTCGGTGCGCCCAGCCCACATACACACGCAACGAGAGAGAGAGAGAGAGAGAGAGAGGGAGGGAGGGAGTGACCTGTTGCTGTCAACGGCAACGGTGCCAGAAATCGATGCCAGAGGATCGGAGAGAGATCGGCCGGACGGTTCAAGAATTTTCTCAGCTGGGAGGGAGATGCAGTGCAGATGCGTACTCCTTTTGATGTCCATAGCTCTTTTGGGGTCACGAGTTTTGGTAAGAGTTCTTTTTTTTGGGGCTAATTTAAAAAAAAGAAACACGCAAATTATAAGTCGAGTGATAATTCTTGCCTCAACTTTTTTTTGTCTCATAAAAAAATCATCAACTTTCACCTTTATCCCGAATCCAGCTCTCCGTTGACTCTCTATCTGAAGTCACCATTGTTTGAGGTCGGAGAGAATCAATCTATAGATCTTTTTTTACTTGACAGTGAGGTGAAGAAGACATGAACATCTTTACCATTATTCTTCAAGTTGTGGATCAGAAAAGAAGACAATGAATAGTGCTTTAAATCCAGTCAGCAAGGCACGTGAATTTATTATTGGATAGAATAGTCAAGTTGGACAATCAATGGCTCTAAGTCAAGGGTTCAGATTTGAAATTTAAATATAAGTTAGTGATTTTTTACGAATCATAAAAAGTTTAGACCAAAATTATCACTCGACCTTCTTTTTTATGTACGGATTTTGTTTAAACACACAAAAATTTTGATTTTACACTCAAACTAAGTCGCAAGCATAAAAATTATACATTAAGATTTTTAATTTCGAGTGAATCGATGTGCCGAATTGATTTTTGATTATTTTATAAACTATGAAGCATGAACGAAAATCAATAATTTTTCAAATTTTTCTTATGCTAAATTTAATCGACTTGAAATATAACATTCTAAATATAACATTCTATCGTTAAAAAAGATAGAAAAACATAATTTATTTCCCATACTGCCTCCATGACATGAAAAGGATGGAAAGGTAACCTTTTGTGCAGTTGATAAACTAGAAGTTTATTGGCAAAGGTAACTTGTGCTCCTATATTGAACAACATACCATTGAAATCAAGAAAATCTTTCTAGGCGAGAATAGAGGTGTCCCCATCTGTTAAATTCAGTCCTCCAAGGATCGATGACAATGCATTTTCGGTCGGGTTTCGGCTCACTAAACACGAACAATCTCGTAATCGAGTCACTTGGTCGGGTTCTAGCCCCGCCCTGACTCAACGAAGTTGATGAGATTGCTCGGTGCTCCACATCCAAATACACAGAAAAAGTCTTGAGATATTTACAGGTTCATTACCCGAACATATCATCATCCCTGAGAAGTGTTTGGTCCAATCACAGCCTCAAGTTGGATCATGTCGTCTGACTCCGATCTCGCGACGAAAAGGTTTTGAGGGAACCTGCAATGTCGCACGAGACCATTGCAATCTCAGAAATTTACCGGGAGGATGCAAATGAAAAATTGAATAACCATAACAAGCACCAATTGCTATTTACTCGACCCCAGCCTTATTCACGATGTCCGCGGTATACCACATGGATTCAAGCTACTTGTGAACCGAGGGATCCTGACATGTATGGTACCGAGTCTAGTCGACACTCGGGTTAATTTTGAGTTCGAGGTAATTAAGAACAGATTTACAGTGTGTATGTATCCTGATGCATGTGATTGCTTATCAAAAATCAGACCTAAGTGCATGTATAGTCGAATCAAATAGGTTTAACTTGCATGCTTGGTAAAGATAATCACAAAATCTGGATTTCTTACCTTTGACGGAGTCCGCCGATCAATGCCGCCTAGGCTCGGGCAAAACAATCGCTCCTTTGAGTTTGGCCGCCGCCGTCGGTTCGGGCAGGATGATTGCTCCTCGGCGGTTAGTCGAGGACGTGGGTTTGGGTTCGGGCAAGATGATTGCTCGCTGAAGTTGCATCAGCCCATTTTCGCATTCTTTCACTCTTTTCGTGACATCGAAATTGCGGGGACAAATGTTCGAAGCCTGATCATGGAAGCACAGAAGAACGTACAGAGCGAAATCACATCATTTGACAGGCGATTCCAAATGAATAAGCGGAGGGAATAATTGATCGGTGAAGCCGACCACATTCGGATTTCAAATACACGAAAGCAGACAGTGTCGACTATTATTGTCCGGGGAAAAAGAAACCCGCTGAAAATCCCCGAGCGCTTCTCTGAACTTCCTGATGGCGAGATAGGCCACCCCAGCTTTTCTACATAATAAGAAGAAAGCCGGAAAGTCTGCCGGAGAAAAAGGAATTGAAAATTGTTTTAATTTTTTTCTCCACAATGCCAAAAGAATGCCTCATTGGTGGTATATCCAAGAAAAAGAAAAAAAATATTGCAACACCAACTCCTAAAAGCCAAACAAAAACTCCAAACAACAGCCACAAAGCCCTTTTCCATTAACTGAGGTCAGCAACATGAATCATTCTAAGCTACGATGCTGCATTTCATACCAGATCTACCCGAATATCCAAGTACTCCAGACTTTTGAAACAATTAAACCAGATAGGAGTGGCATGAAAATATAAACTTGAAATTAACAGCATTAACACAACCTCATCATATTTCTCCTGCCTCCAAACTACAGCGCCTCTAAAAACCATGGGGAATTTGACGACCGTGAATTCATCAAACAGATTTACTGAGAAAGAGCTCCTATCTACTCAAACAAGTTTCTCATTTCTCTAGTCAGGTAATATCATGGAAATGCCAGAAATGCGTAAAAAGGAACATACCAGAAATTCAATGCACTGACAGGGATCCAGAACCTAAATCCTGCAAAGATGAGGTACATGGCTAATACATGATTTTGCCTGGATCGATCAATGAAGACAGCTATGAAGATTGAAGAGCACTTTACCACAGAGTAGTGTGGGAAGAGCACCTTTTTGATACTTTTTAGGAAGCTCGGATAACTTCCCTTGCCATAAGTTGTTCCAAGCAAAAACAATCGCAATAACTGTAGGGCCAAGCACGATCTGGTTTAACAATACCTGTAAGAAAAATGAAGTTAAAAGATCAAGCTCTTATGTTTTGTCACTAAATATATAAGAACATTGTAGGAAAACTGATTGTACCTTCAGCATCAAGTTCTCAACTGTTGGCTTAGGCAAATTTTGATCAAGATACTGATACCAGACATAAGAACCGGGGCCATAGAAAAGGAATCCATAAGAAGTCATGCGCAGGGCCCGAAACCAGTCATGATCTGAAAAAAGAATGCGAATGATGTCCTGTGCCATAGCTTTGGGTCAAAATTTAAACACAGATACTTTAATAACCAAACCAAGTATAAAAACTCCAACGGAGCAACAAAAATATTTGACCCTCGTGAAAGGATAACAATTGCAAGAAAAAAGAAGTTCGCATAACCTCAGCCTTAAATATTACCACCTTTTAAAAAGAAAAAATCTACCTCCTAAATGAGAAAAGGAACCAAACCAACGTGAGTATACACATCCTTTCCTCTCTCTGAGGAAAGTAAACTTAGCAGTTCACAAACTTCTCAGACTTAATTTCCTCTTCCAATTTTACGAGACATTTTGGAACGTAGAAAAAAAAAAGGGTGAACTTGACCCAAAAGACTCACAGATGGACAGAGAGAGATTAACTAGTATGCTCTGCACAAGATGATAAAATTGGCACAGGTGGAAGAATTGTAACCACATGAGACAAGGTCAGGCTCGAGGGTATGATTTTTGACATTTTGAACTTAAACGTCAATGGAAGTCAAACCCGCTTCTAATCGATGCGTGAAAAGATGAAAAATTCACTAGTATGGCACAAAATGGCTCCAGCTGTAGCTCAACTAACAAACCGATTCGACCACAGCCGGAAATCATCTTCTTTGAATCATATGCAGTGTTGATTTAGAGTGAGTGGCGCTTGATTTGCCCATCAACACCATACGACTCTTAGAAAACTTAAGCAGTAGCACCTTAAAGTGGTGAATCTGGCAAGCTCAACTGCACGGTGGATAGTAGTACACCAAAAGACCACTTCATGTATTAATCTGATATCTAGATAGTCAAGTATCAAATATAAAGTGCCACCAGTGCTTAAATAGTTCCAATCAACTCTGCACTAGAATCTTGCATTGAAAGGCCTACACGGCTTCAAAACTAGTGAACATGACACCAACCACTTGCTACACTTTTTCAGTGCTATATCCAGACACTTGAAGTTGGTACAAGAAATGCCCCGTGACATGCGAACGATGTAGAAGAAAAGCCATAACACCTAACGTGGAGATCATTTGCCCACGTTTTCCCCTACAATCTAAGGCAATAATGATCAGCTATTTCTTTCAGAATCACAGTTTTTTTTTCCATCTGCAGGCAATATCAGCTAGTCAATCACGTAAGATGACACATCAATAACCTAATGAAATCAGAAGAAGAGCTTTCTCAGAAGCCGAAGTGAAGATAAACTATGGTAGACTAAGAAGTCAGCACGTCTAGTCTCAGTGTTCTCATCAAGCAAGCGGAAACGAGGAACTAGAAACAAAGCATCGACCGCATTCCCTGAACAAACAGTCAAGCAGACAGTCAATGATGACCTCTACCAGAAACACTGCACATATTGCTCAATTATCGGCATACAATCCAAGGAATTTGCACAACAACACAATCATTCACACTTGCGACTCGAGCACACATACAACATTCGGCTAACAAGAAACATTCGTAATCAGACACCGACCTCGCGAGCACCATCAATGTCCGATCCAGGCGAGGAAGGTCCCGCCGAGCCCTCCTCCCTCTTCCTTCTCAGGCGCTCCCTGACCTGAGCTATCGTGTCGCCGGCGAGAGCGAGCGAGCCCGCCGTCGCCGCTTGCTTGAGGGGGAACCGGCGAGCGACGCTCCCGGCCGGCTCCGCGGAATCCGAAGGCCTCGAGCTCCTCCGACGAGGACGCCGCGACGATCCCTCGTTCCTCCGGGGACCGTTCCACCCCCAGAGCCCGCCACGGCCACAGCCACAGCCACCGCTCAGAGCACCCATGGAAAGATTCAATTAGTCCGAGTCCGACCCGATTTGGTGGAAATGGTCCCGTCTTCTTCGACGTCTCTTTTTAATTAAGCAGGATTTTTCCTTTTTGGGTACTTTTTTTTTATCTCCGCCGTAGATGATGGCCAGAATCTGCGGTCGAGATTCGCTGGGGAGTGGAGGGGTGAGCGGAGGTCGGTGGCTTCGGCTTATCGAAAGGCCGGATCGGATGGCGGCGTCGGACCCACCATGTTTGTTTCCGTTCTTTTTACTACTCTGTTAAAACCCAATATTATTTCGACCAAAAAAACAAAAAAAAAAACCAATATTATATTTATACATTGCAAAACATTCGGATGTTTCTTATTACAAAATAGTCTAATAAGTGCGTCCGTCCTAACATTTAAATTAAGTAACGAGGTAAAAAGTAAAAGTTTTTCTCACAATCTTAAAAAGATTTAAAACCCATTATTTAGGCTTTTTTCTTATAAGCAATAATGATAAATGCTCTTGAATCTTCTTTGAACCTTCATAACATTCTTGGGTAGTTTGGTAATTATACCCACCATGTTTTGTAATATTCATAATTGAACATGGTTGCCGGTAGATAAAAACTTAAATCTCTAGTGTTTAAATGTATAAGGTGAGGTCATTTGTTCAAGTGACAGTTGCAATTTCGGTATGAACCGATGACCCATTTGTTCGAGCGACGATTGCGATTTCGGGTATCCGCCAATGATACGCATGCATTGTCTATTTTAGATTGTTTATCGTACCTAGATCCTCCGGTGTTGAGATTTATTTATCATTTTCAACCATCTACATATGTAATAAGGGCCAAACGATCTCAACGATTTTTTAACTTGTAACATTTCTCTTTATCTATTATGTTCAAAAGAAAAGAAAAGTGAAAAACGGACCAAAGCGGTTTGATCCAATTGAACAAGTGGAACTGACGCATTAGATCACCCTGCGCCCTTATGCGACACAGAGGTGCGAAATAGAGGTCGCGTACTCTATGACGGCTGATAGCCGAAGAGTTATTCGCTCCGCGACAATGACTGGGCAGCGGGTCAAATTCAGCACTCTTAAGTCTAATACAAAAATGCAAAGACAGTGCATAATGAAAATGCAAAAACTATATTAAAGTATATCCTCTGGGCAAACAAGGATGGCCTAAGCATAGAGTACTTTTGCATATGGATTGCCACTGCCGCTATCGATCCAGACGAATATACAGCTTTCTAGCAGCGTTTCCTGCATCACCTACTTCGAACTTTGGAGAATTTACGACGAGAGCAATAGTTAGCTCGGAGAGCAAAGCATATAAGCCAACCAAAGTGATATATACAGACTTCATCATCAAGTTTTGTGTCCAATGATGGACTATTGAATTCATCAATGTAGGACACGGCGCCGTCTAAAGGAAACTGCTAACTGAGGATAGAGACGTGACTTGCTAGCATAATATCTAGAGAAAGGTAAAGAAGCAGTACTACCGTAGTCGAGAGAACCATATCCATATACTCAAACTAAGCATACTACAGCACAAAACCTTCTTCGAAAATTCCACAAGCATCTCCGAGGTAAAGTCCTCCTCTAGGGCGATAATGTGATTCCCCATTTCTGGCGACTCCGATATTCTTTTTAGTGGAGATCACCATTTTCTCCAAAATCAATACATTCCCAAGTAGAAACTCAATTAACTCGATCACGTATGGTATCACGTATGGTTCGGTCACGCATACATATAACATCACATTCTTGAGGTGATGTTTTAGCCAATGGAATGTAGCCTCAACTGAATTCCAATAACTCCTCCCATCAAAATTCACATGCTCACTTCCACTTTTTTCCCTGACAAATAGCCAACCAAAGTGCAATGATCAAGCATTGGTACATTAAATTGATTTAATTTCCAAAAGAGATCTATTTCTGATAACCAATATCCATAATTTAGTCCGAAAGTTAATATACTTAATGATACTTACAAATGGGTTCAAAAGTTAATCCGTGTAATGAAGAAGGGGCACTGTTCTCTATGAAAGCACACATAATTTTGTCATTAGAGAAAAATATTTCTTACTTATGCAGCGCTTTAGGATAAAGCGCACCTGAATATCATCGGGCATTGTTTGATAAACATATATGGTGAGTGTCTCTGGAAAATTGCAAGTCTCCAGTAGGTAAGAAATCCCATAGAGATGCCCCTTTGCTAAATTAAGTGTCATTGTCACAGACTTCCCAGTTGAAAGATGGACGCGGTTGATATGTCAGCCTTCATATGCTGAAGACCTGGAGATCGAAAAGAGAAAACCATTGGAGGAACAGATCCTTTAAACACCAAATAGGACAGACAATGCTTTATGACGAAATCTACAAAAGGAAAAGAACAGCATCTGCTCAATAATGCTCGACTCTCCAATGATTAAACTAAATTAAAAACATACAACAACCAACAACAACTATGCCTCCTCTAACTAAGTCGAATCAAATATATAAAATAAACAAAACCAAGCTGTAAAATTGAATGCATCAATCAATAATTGATTACCGAGTAAAGATCCTAACGCTCGAATATATGAGATTGGATTCAGACTTTTATCAACACAAACATCAAAATGCTATAATTCCACAAAAATAGCCCACGACCAAAGCAACAAGATTGAATTTTAGTTGACAGCAAGTCCCAGCAATATGCTAATTTGTCCATCAAACACGTAATGAGTTAACACAGAGTAAAGACATTACAAGAACCACAGAAAAAAAAAACTTGACTAGTTGATTCGAGATTGACATCTCATGAATTAATGACATAAGAAATCTATACATAATGCTATTCAAACTAGCTGATGACAAATGAGTAGATAATTATGACAAGAAAGCAGGACAATAGAAAGAGATTGATTCATATCAAATGGCAACATCATATCTTATGCACCGTTAGCTGCAGAAGTTGAAAGAAGATGAACACAAATACTTGTAAGGAGCCAAAGATGAGAAAAAAAGGCAATGACAAATTTATGACACATGAAAAAAATAGGGCCATGGTTAAGCCAATAATACAGTACAGTGGACAAACTAAACAAATAAGTTTCGCATCAACTCAACTGGTGGCACACTCGACTTGTGCCACAATTAATCTCGTGCCACACTCAACTCGCCTTCAATATAATTATCAAGCTCAAACTACTTGAACAACTCCAAATCATTTAAAAAGGATGGAAACCTACCAGTGTACTCCCATTGCACAGAGTAAAATATGCAGCGTTATGGACCTTCTCCAATAGCGTTTTGACAGGATACTCTTGAAACAGACCATTAAATCCGCTCCTAATATAGAGTGCCATATCATTTACCGAAGATCCGCATGTAACATTCAGTTCTTTTATGGAACCATCCAGTTCAAGTGTCAAGACATTCGGACAGGTTATCTTCCTCAGCGGATGAGTAGTAACGATTGCCAATATTTTGACGCCTGATCGAGCAAAATCAATTTCTTTCGGGCCATGACAAACACAAATATTTAATTGTTCAAGCAATGGATGACTGTCTTACTTGTAGGCCCATAGCAATCCTCGAGAGACATCTTTGTCAGTGGCGGGCCACACAAAACAAAATTGCGCATCAGCTCGTCGCTTAAATTGACATCCCACAAAGATAAGCCTCTTCTTTCCCAATCAATCAAGCAACGAGAAGCGAGTCTCGTAAGAGGACCACTTAATCAATCATTAGTTACTAAATTCGGACCCATTCTGTTTGAGTATAATTAATCAACCTAATGATATCAAAACGAAGTGATTCGGGTGTCATTAGAAAACTTATATCATGAGGATAAAAAGGTCAAGAAGACTACTTTTACTAGTTCCCCACTGATTTTCACGAAAAAGACAATTCTAACCTCGGTGACAGTCTAGACCCGGTTTGGTAAAATGTGCTTTGAGAAGCAACTTTGAGATAAATGTCGGTAGAAAACACATTCAAAAAGCTCATTTGGGTGATTAATTTAAGCTTTTTTAATTTTTATTTGTTTAAAATTGAAAAAAATAATTTCTGCAACTTTTTAATTTAAATTTTGACAACAATGTTAAAATTATCTTGTAAACAATTTATTAAAAAAGTAAAATTTCTTTTTTGTTTGCTAAAAAAATTCAAATGGAAAAATTTCACAAAAGTGGTCACTTTCTCATTAAAAAAAAGAATACTTTCATTATAATAAATGTGGTAACATGTGCCTCAAGAAAAGAAATTCACTATTCTTAAAAATTACAAACATTCTTATATATTTCTTCAACTTATAGCTATTTAATCATGTTTAAGCTGCATCGTTTAAAGCACTACCCTCCTCATTTATATCATCGATAATTTATGTACCTTAGTGAGTTCCAATTCATATGAAATTCAGAGGGAATGAAAGAAATTACGGGGATTTGGATTAGATCAGCCAATTTTCATTGAGTAGGTGAAGAACCAAACTTCCCCAATCTTATGTTTGTATCCAAGTTCATGGCACTGCTTTGCAAGAAGAAACTATCTTCGTAGCTAAACCAAAATTAAAATGAATTTTTGGGGTAAACTTGAATTTCTAATGAGTTTTTTAGGGCAAAAAAGAAACTTGACAAAATTTCATTAACAAAGGTTCAGCATTCCGAAAATTCTGAAAGCACGATTATGGTAGTTAGCTTTCAACTATCTCAAGGCTAGCTTTCACCCCAAAGCCCTTGGGGAATAATCGCCAGACACCCTAAATTTTTTCTAAAAGGCTTTCAGACCCCAAAGGGCTTTCAAAAAACCAAAAGTACCCTAAGAATGGCTCTCAGCATCCTATAATGAGAAGCTGGCAATATTTTCAATGGACTACCACACCCAACTAGGGCAACATCAAAAACCTTCACCTTTTTCTTTGGCGCGGAAGCATCAACAATGTGCGGACGGCACACCTGATCGGCAGAAAGGAGAGTATGTGGAGGAGGAGCGCCTCGGGCAAGCCATTGATATGGTCCACTGCCTTGACTTCGCTCTTTCGCAGATCTTAAC